TATATATATATACATATATATATATATGTATATATAGATCGATATCGATAGTTAGATAGATAGATGGTTAGATAGCTATGTAGATAGATAGATAGATGGACAATATAATGTACACACATACACACACACACATATATATATATATATATATATGCATACATACATACACACACACATATATATACATATATATATATACAGATAGATGTATATTTAAATAGATAAGACAAATAGAATAGAATAGAATATTATATATATATAGATATAGTTATATAGACAAGAAAAGACGTATAGATAAATTGATAAATGTATGACTAAATAAATAGATACACAGATAGATAGTTAGAGGTACACAAGTATATTGATAGATACATAGATATACGGATAAAAAATTCATCAGGTAGATCAATAGATTATATCGGCTAGACTGTGCACTACAGTGACTGGTAAACTACGTTACCTGAACACTTATAGATGAAACAATTTCAGTCACGATGCTTTCGAGCATAGGAAGGACCGAAAAGAGCCATAATCTGACGTGCAATTGATGTTGAGCTTTTGTCCAGCAGGGATAGATTTGAAAGTTTGTAGACTTTTGAACAGTATTTCGTACTGTTGACCTCTTCTCGATATATCCCAAGATACCGGAAATTAAGCTTTGTAGGGAACCTACAGAATAAGTAGTTTATTGCTATTTTATAAATGTGTCTAATCTGTCAGCTCAATAAGCACTGTCAATGATCGCGTTAAGAGTCGCACTAGGACGCATGGCCTTCTCGGTCATCTCCTTGTCGGGTAGGTAGTATCCACCAATGTCCTGAGGCTTGCCCTGGCAATCAATCAATTCTTGAGTGATCTTTGCCTCATTCTCGCGAAGAGCTGTTGCCATCTTGGTGAAGCTCTTGTCCTTCTTGGCCATGGCCTCAGCCCAGTACAGCGCCAAGTAGTATACCGAACCTCGGTTGTCAATCTCGTTTACCTTGCGTGACGGACCCTTATTATTATTCAACCACTGTGCGACGGCCTCATTGAGACACTCGCCCAACTGAGTCACCTTCTCGTTGCCACTCTTGACACCGAGCTCCTCTAGAGACACAGCCGTGGCCAAGTACTCACCCAACGAGTCCCAACGCAAGTGTCCTTCTTCCAAGAACTGCTGTACGTGCTTAGGCGCTGAACCACCCGCACCGGTCTCGTATAGACCACCACCAGCCAGAAGAGGTACAATAGACAACATTTTGGAGGACGATGCAAGCTCAAGAATGGGGAATAGATCGGTGTTGTAATCACGCAGTACATTACCAGTTACAGAGATGGTATCCTTACCGGCCATCGCGCGCTCCATAGACACCCAGCACGCCTTCTCGGGTGTTTCGATGGTAATGTCCAAGCCCTCAGCGTTGTGCTCGGGTAGGTACTCATTAACCTTCTTGATTAAGTTAGCGTCGTGGGGTCGGTTAGGGTCCAACCAGAAGATCGCGGGTGTATTGGATGCGCGTGCGCGGTTGACAGCAAGCTTGACCCAGTCCTTGATAGGAATATCCTTAGTTTGACACATGCGCCAGATATCTCCCTGCTCTACCTGGTGCTCGAATACAACCGATCCATCGTTCTCGTTTATTACACGCATAGTACCGGCCTCACTCATCTCGAATGTCTTGTCGTGAGAACCGTACTCCTCAGCCTTCTGAGCCATAAGCCCAACATTCGATGTGTGGCCCATGGTGGCTGCATCGAACTGTCCATTCTGCTTCACAAAGTCAACGGCTGTCTGAAAAACACGTGCGTAACATCTATCGGGGATAACACACTTGGTGTCTTGCAGATTACCGGCCTTGTTGTACATCTTACCAGAATCACGGATGACCACAGGCATCGAAGCGTCTACAATAACATCCGAAGGAACGTGCAAGTTTGTAATTCCCTTGTCACTGTTGACGTATGCTAGAGATGGCCCAGACTTGTAAGCCGCATCTACATCAGCAAGCACTTGCTTCTGGACATCTGCAGGCGCATTCTGAATCTTCTCTAGAACATCACCAAAACCATTGTTGGCGTTCACACCTAATTCCTTGAACAGCGACGCGTGCTTGCTGAATACATCCTTGAAGAACACCTCCACTACTGTACCGAACATGCGAGGATCAGATACCTTCATCATAGTGGCCTTGAGATGCAGAGACAACAGAATGTCCTGCGCCTTGGCATCCGCCAGCTCGTGCTCGACAAAAGCAGCAAGCTTGGCACGAGACATGAAGCTAGCATCAATCACCTCGTTATCTAGTAGAGGGGTGGTTTTCTTCATTACCTTCACATCTCCGTTCTTGTTCTCGAATTCCATGCGTACCGAGCCGGCCTTGGGCATAACAAAACTCTTCTCACTTCCGTAGAAGTCACCGTCCTTCATAAAGGCCACGTGTGTCTTGGAGTCCTTGGTCCATGCACCCATCTTTTTGGGGTGGGCTTGGGCGAACGCCTTGACAGGCGCTGCTGCTCTGCGGTCAGAGTTTCCTTCTCGCAGCACGGGGTTGACAGCCGACCCAAGTACCTTGGCGTATGTCTTGTTGATCACCTCCTCCTCAGAATTGGTAGGGGATTGTGGGTATGATGGTACATCGTATCCTTTAGCTTGAAGCTCCGCAATGCACGCCTTAAGCTGAGGCACGGAGGCTGATACGTTAGGCAGTTTTATGATGTTCGCGTCAGGGGTCTTAGCGAGCTCACCAAGCGCAGCTAAGTTATCGGGTTTACGCTGCGACTCGGAAAGACGATCGGGCCACAGAGCAAGCACACGCGACGCGACAGAGATGTCACTGATCTCAAACGCCACATTGGCACTGTTGGTGAACTTGTTCAGGATGGGAAGGAAACCTGCTGTAGCCAGTGCGGGAGCCTCATCCGTGTATGTGTACACAACTTTGGCCGCATTTCGACTTGAAGAACTAAACTTACGTGAGGCTAACAGCCTTATCGATTGGTGCCCTATCATCGCGAGAAGATATCTATCAACTGACCAAACGCTACTACAGTGTTCTTTAGTTCCTAAATATGTTGTGGGGTATTCATATTCATTTCACGCATTATATATGTTTGTATAAATATGCACGTATATAAAATTAAAATAATAAATATAGATTGATTGTGCCGAAACGCCTAAAAGGGCAAGCCGGTAGGACCACCATGGTACCAGGTGTCCAGCCTTCCACCAGAGAGTACAACACTGGCCCTGGGACTTGGGCCCCTGGGCACTGTGGCATAGGGTCAAGAACTAAAGGAGTCAGGATGACTGATAATCACAGGACACAGAGTCACAGAGTCACAGGTCTTAACTAACTGACCGGTTGAAATTTGTATACCTTTTGATTTGTGGAGAAGATGGCCGGTTTTTACTTTTTAGTATGGTTTTTGCAGGACCACTGTCTATGCTGAATATGTTAAAAAGCACATGTCCAAAAACTCTGGTTTATCTAGCGCTTCAGCTGGAATTAGGATCTGGAAGACCGGAACCCGAAGGCCAAAGCTAGTAGCCATGCTGTTTTTGAAATAAAATAATAAAAACAGGACACCCGTCAGGCACTCACACAGGCCGCCACTTTAATATTATTTTAGACACTCCTCAGGAGTCAGGACTCAAAGGAGGCTCCAGCCTCCACTCCTCACTTTTCACCCCACGGGACCCCACGACCCAACCCACGTTCACACTTTTTCTTCTCACAAGCAACTCCAGCAAGGTGACAGAGTCCAGAACTCCGTACCTATTTATTTATTTTTTAAGAGGCTCTCAGAGTCAGACTGTCCCAACTCCAGTTTCCTCCCGAGGATCGATACGGCAATGTGTTCGTCGAGAATACGTATTCGAGGGAATACACACATATGAAGACGGTGGGTAAGTATGCCTAGACACCGAGAAAAACTCCTAATCGGGAAGAGGGTTGGCACAGGATTTTCATAGTTGTGTAATAAATAGGTTTTTCACAACATCTTTGTAAAGAAAATTTAAATGAGGCTATCTCTATATGGTTCTTATTGTGGAAAAAGAAAAGATCTCACATCTGGTAGTGTGTGTAGTGTGTAGTATTGCATCACAACTAGAGTAGTATTTAGGATTATATAGCGAAATACATCACACCTTCTTCATATGCATGATGCTCAAAGTGGCTGTACTACTGTTCAATTATGTGGAGGTGCTAGACTTTGCGGGGCCTTTCGAAGTGTTCTCAGTTACAGGAAAGAAAGAAGGTAAAGACCTCTTCGATGTATATACTGTAGCAGAAACTAAGACAATCAGCGCTCGCGGAGGATTGAGTATAAATGTACATCACACCTTCACAACATGCCCTCTTCCGGATATTCTGATCGTGCCAGGAGGAGGTGGGTTCCGAAGTGATGGTACACCATACGGCACTCGATTGGAACTGCATAATGACATACTGTTGGATTTCATTGTAAAGTGTGCACAGACTTGCACCAAGCTTCTATCAGTATGCACTGGTTCGACACTGTTGGCAAAAAGGGGACTACTGGACGGGAAGGTATCGACAACGCATCATCTTTCACTGAACGTGCTGCAGGAATTAGCACCAACGTCACGTGTATGTGCAGATGCACGAGTCGCAGACAACGGTAGGGTAGTGTGTTCAGGTGGTATCTCAGCGGGGATTGACATGTGCTTTTATGTGATAACGCAGCTTCACGGTGCAGAGGAGACCGAGAGGACTGCGAAGTACATGGAGTATAACTGGCAACCAGATCAACTTAAGGTCGTTAAGTTTTAGGTCCAATAAATGCAACCAGGAAGCAAAATTATAGCGAGAGTTGTATATACGTCAACGATCGGGCTATACCTTACAAATAAAATATTTCCTGTAAATCTTTGATGAACGTTCTGACCTAAATACATTAATACTGCTCTACCTAAAAACTTTGTTTGATGACCTAAATACACTGATGATATTCGCTGGGCTGGTTTAAGACAGCATTTTTAGCTATGCAGACATGTTAAGACCGTCGTAAGCTACTTCGCTCCGAACGATTGTCTTTTATTACACTCAGAAGTCCGATAGACGTCACGATACTGACCTAAGTAGACAAATCGCGACGAGTCGGAAACTAGTTTGCTAAGACGTGATTTTTTCGTATACCAGGCCAGGATAACAGTGCTGATATACTAGTGTTGCTAAGTATGTATTAAAGCGAATCTTTGATAAACACGATCTGACGCAAAAAAAAAACTTGCATTGTATCAATACTACTCTACTAGTGTTAGTATAAGTAATCTTGTAATTAAAATTGACCTACACATTTTGATGGCATTTTTAAAGAATACTGCAAAACCCTTTAGTGTTGGCAATAATAGGTATGTGTTAAAAATCTTTCTATGGGTAACCAAAGCTTCGATTAGACAAAACAATGTAAGTATTTATAATATACCATAGCGGCATAGCCTATGCCTTCTCTCACTCTCTCCTCTCAGAGAGAGAAACAAACAAGATAGGGCTGATGTATGGCTATGATTATGTATACATACTTTTATGGAGACATGTTCATAGCCTTCTGAATTATACATGTTTAAAATTTATTGTTTTGTTTACTTTTAATTGTTTTTATAAAACAAAAAGTTCAACGAGAAATGTAGAGTAATTATTTGTGGCACACATTTTTGATTTGTTATTGTTTAAAAAAAAAGTTAATATATATATAGACCAAGTGGTTTTAAGGTTTTTAACTATTGTCGTAGACTGTAGAGTGTAGAGTCGGGGTTTTAGGGTTTAGGAGACTGTCAACAGTTCCACATGATTTTTTTTGCCGCGAGTATCGATATTGTTTTTTTATAAAAATTTAGTGCGTTCCCACTTCCCTCTGTGTATAGTATTATAGTGTATATATATACATATGCGTAAAAAGTACAAGCGTATCAGTATACCACATATAGAAGCACTGTGTGTTTTAACGCACATGCAGTAGACGTTTGTTTTGCGAAGTCCGTCACAATGAGTGCATTCCACGAGGAAGTGAACATTGAAGACATGGAGTACGATCCTGAGCTGAAGACGTACTTCTACCCTTGCCCCTGCGGAGATCAGTTTGAGATCACTTTAGAAGAGGTGATTGATGGTGAGGAGGCTGCGTACTGCCCCAGCTGCTCGCTTGTGCTACGCGTGATAGTGGACGATGGCTTTGACTTTCCAGAGGACGAAGAACCACAGGAAACCCTGCAACAGCCAATTGCGTGCTAAGTTATAAACAACATTTCAGTCACCCGTAACATACAAATACAACATCCACTAGTAGTCCGCACATCAACCAGTAGTCCCAGTGCCGTGACGTGATACTCTTATTTACTGCGGTTATAGTTCGTAGTGCGGAAGCGATCTTTGGTGTATATACATGCAAGTGTCTTATCAGAAGGAGAATGTCTCTGTGCTTCCGCTTCTAATCGCTAAGTATGAAGGCCTGGTACGAGTGACCATAGGATTACGGAGTACCCTCAAATATAATGCCTCTGCGTATTTAGGCTATTCCATCGACTTAGTTCAAAGCTCCTAACATCTTTGCCACCGCGTGCAGCGAGAGTTGTACCAATACGTCTCTGGTATTTAAGCTATGCTCATGGACCCCTTGCCTACTCAGGACACGATGCAGCTTTACAATCTCGTGTGCGTACATACAGATGGCCATGGCATATGTCCTATGTGAGTCCATGGTAGCCCTGTCTCAGAGTGAACACCCTGCCAGTAATGATGGTTACACACAACTGCCACACAGACACAGTTGAGTCTTGGATTGAAATGGGGTTGCCATTCCACAGGCCAGTTTGGTGTTGTTGGTGATTTGTAGCCACTTATAGGCGTCGCACACGCACAGCTCAAAGGAATATAAAGTGAACAGCCGTCATGGCTATATCACCAGGTCATATGCTACGGAGATGCAAATCTACAAACCCGACATTAGAAGTCATGACAGCGAGTGCCTTCTGTGTACTTAGAACCTCTGAACGCGCCCCCGAATGGGTATATGCAGGACATCACAGCCCTTTTTTGATAGAGGCGGGACACCCTCGTGGCAGAACTACGACCACGTGGTATGCACCTTGACCCATACGTACTTTTTAAGACCTTGATGTGTTGTCAGCAGAGAGCGTGCACGTGCCCATTTCGCATGCCACTGCGTCTGTCCGTCCATTGCACCGTATCAAACCAGGCTGTATGGGCTGCCGTTCACCTGGACCTCTGAGAATGAACCTCTGAGAACCAATGCAATGTCTGTCAATTGTGATGTGTGCGTTGGTGATACATATGTACAGTTGCACACTTTCCTGATTGTGGTTGGCCATTTTAACCCTTGACTATGGATGCCTCAGCTGATGCGCGGTATTGCGATTGCGTGTCGCCAGATCCGAATCGTACAACAATACAGGATGTATATAATAAAAATCCCTACTCAGTGATTACAATACAGGATCTATATAATAAACATCCCTACTCAGGGATTACAATACAGGATCTATATAATAAACATCCCTACTCAGGGATTACAATACAGGATCTATATAATAAACGTCGCTACTCGGTGTATACTATACAGGATCTATATAATCAACATCCCTACTCAGTGCAACGCCAGTGTGCATTGGCACCCATAGCTCTTAGTTTTAGTCAGATAATCGGCTGCGGATGTGCACAGTGGTATGCGTCGGTGTGTATGCTACTGTAATCGGACATGATGTATATGCTGATTAATTATACATGGTTTAAATGATGATTAATTAGACATCATGTATATGCTGATTAACTAGACATGATGCATATGATGATTAGTTAGACATGATGTATATGCTGAACAATTAGACATGGTGTATATGATGATTAATTAGACACGGTGTATATGATGATTGATTAGACATGATGTATATGCTGATTAATTAGAAATGATGTATATGCTGATTAATTAGACATGATGTATATGCTGATTAACTAGACATTGTGTATATGCTGATTAACTAGCCATTGTGTATATGCTGATTAATTAGACATGATGTATATGTTAATTAATTAGACATGTATATGATGATTAATTAGACATGATGTATATGATGATTAGTTAGACATGATGTATATGCTGATTAATTAGAATATGATGATTAATTAGACATGAAGTATATGTTAATTAATTAGACATGATGTAAATGATAATTAATCCTGAGAAGCCAGTTAGCTCTGGCTTAAACATGATGTACGAACTTATAAGACTGTTAAGAAACGGCCTAGGGATGGCTGTTTGTATGGGGTGGTTGGCAATGGGGTGGGTATCACTCTTGCTCCATTTACAATGACACATGCATCGCATATAGAGCATATGGCCATGGCTGTTATGCCTGCCTATAAGCACACAATGGTGTCAGCTGTAACTAGCACAGACTGAGCAACGTGACGAGGGAAGGGGATGCAGGCACTTGATGACCTCAAATGAAGGTTAGAATAGAGAACGGTTGCGAACTATCTTTCCAAGCAATAGGCACGCATTTAGTTAAGATGTTTGTGTATGTGCGTGTAGGTATATTGTTAGTTATTGTCGGTGCATGTGCCTTGCATTAAGTGTATATACATTAGGTGTATGTACACCATGTGTATTTTTGTCTTCTATGGATGTTGCTGCAATCAGTGGCGTTCTGAGCTGCTGTGGTCACGCTAATCGCTTATGCAGACGCACACGTGGCTGATTGTTTGTTCCACACTTTGTCTTGGTCTATTTTACAGTTGGTAGTCTCTGGTAGGGTTGTACTGTGTCTCCCTAACCCTATGACTAACTGGTGCACTTTTTTACCACCCCATATCACATGCGCACAACAAGTGGTGAAGGCGAGCGACATCGAAGCACTGCCTGACTCATTGGTAGTAGGGTATAGGGTTCAGGGGTTCGATTTCTTCACTTATTCACATGTGCTATTGCTATAAATAAAGGTTTGGTTATCTGGTGCATGCAATCATATGTACCGTATGAGCACAATCCAATGGTCGGCGTTAATCCTACTGTAGCCTATGACACATTCGGGCAAATGAGGAAGGGGGATAATGGGGGGTGGGGGGGTCAAATGCATCAGCCAGCAGGGCCGTATTGCGTCTTCGCAATTGCGCACATGCAGTGGTATGTGCTGGTGCTCTGTGGACGGTGCGGGAGTTCTGGCAATGAGTCATGGTTAATAGTTAGTCCGTGCAAGCCTCCGCCCGATGTGATGCGCGGGAGTAGTACACACACCTGCGCCGTGAAACCTTAAAACCCTAAAAACATTTAGGGTTTAGGGTTTAGAGTTTAAGATTTGGTATTATTGAATTGTATGGGTATCGCATATGTGTCGATTTAGGGTTTTGGATTTTACAGTTTTAGGGTTTAGGGTTGAGGGTTTAGGCATAGCTTCCTAAAATAATATTTTTTAAGATGGTTTAGGGTTTAGGGTTCAGTGACCTGTTTCTGTCGGCAGAGTTTGTCACAAATGCCTCTGCCGCCGCTGAACATCCCCGAGCACCAGGACAGCACATAGCTAGGCACAGTGCTGTTGTGCAGGTGTGTTGGTGGTATATCTTAACTGTGCCATGGACACCGTTGGCTGATGTAGGCCGAGTGCACGTGTGTGTGACAGTTAATCATTCCAACACGTATCAGGTGACGCAGTGCAAGGATTGTGGCAAATAAGCCGACTGAGCACATCATACAGTTAGCGATGCACAATCATATGTGGTCATGTCTACCAGACTACAAGACGTTGCTTATACTTGCGTAGGATTAGTTAATTCACATCTATTTATTAATTGGATGTCCCTTTCTTTGTTATTCATAGTACCTTGTGTTAACAATCTGTCCATCACTACTTCTCTATCGATAGCAAAACTATCTCTGATATATATAAATATATATATATATATATATATATACATATATATATTATACACACATATCATACATACATATATACGTGTGTGTCCCACTAGTTCTTCATGGCTATCCTGCGGGCGTCATCTATACGTTCGTCCATGATGGCTTCTGATTGGTTGCGGCGGTGCTCTCGCATAACTTCGCCAAAGTCGGCCATGGCACGCTCGGCGGACATCATTCCACCAATCAGTGAGGCAGCTGTGGACGTGCAATGGTATTCGACGAAGTTAACACTCAGTGCGCGACATGTGTGTGTGTGTGCGTGCTT